TAACAATATTGTTATGTTGCAGGTACAACCTGCAAGCGTATTCACAGAAAGTAAACAGCGCAGTCTCGGCCAAATTGCTCCGTATTAGCCTGCCAGAGATTGCACAGAAAGATAAAACAATTAATCTTCACTTTAGTTTAGCGCGTCCAACAAGCAGGGTGCGCGCGATCAGTCACCGGAAAGCGACAACAACGACAAACAGCCGTACAGCGGACCTCAGCCGCTAACAACGATCCGAGTAAATGACAATTCAGTAGCAAACAGCTACAACAGCGACGGAAACAGCCGCAACCTCAGTCCTTTTTCCACGATCGATGCCTATCTCGCCCTTCCCTTCATCGCACAGCCTCTGTATCCCCGGACTTCTACCAACAAGCTGATCCTCACGCTCCTCTCTTCCCGACCGATTCCAACCCCCTGTCTCCACTGCACTGAACGGTTGCACGCCAGTCTATGACAAGTGATGCCAGCACTACCCCGATGCTCCTATCGACCACATCTAGTTGAACGGTTTCGTAGGTGAATGACGCATTCGACATCCTTTCAGATGACTGTTAACCCACCGGTCTGCTGGTGATAAGTGCTGCACGGGCTGAACATGAAACCATGCCGTGAGCTTCTGACGTGTCAACACAGTGTTGCCGGCCGATCTTGATTGCCCACCTTGTCCGATTCTGATCTCCGGCTGTCGTGGTGCCACGAATGCCACCGCCTGACTTGCAACTGCAACAGTAGCCCAAGGGGTTAATTTAACTGGTTTGAAGTTAGGTTTATGCCCCGCGCATCTCGACGCGCGCCAACGCGCGGTTCACGGCGCGCGCGGGGCCGCCGCCCTCCCGCCGTCGATGTTATCGGTGAAATGGAGGCGGTCTTGGGGAGCGTGCCGTTCCGTGGTGAGGGTCGGCCGAGTCGTCCTCCCCCCCTTTTTCCCCGCAGCGCCCGTCACCCTCTCTCTTTTATTTCTACGAAATTCCTTCCAGAAGCGTCCACGCGTCCGGCCCGGATTCCGCCGGGCCGTACACGTGCGCTTCTCTAAAATTCAAATAAAATCTCGGACTACAGTATAAAATCTCCCTCTATAGTAAAAATGCAATTTTCCCTAAAAATATCCCACAGCCCATGTGCGCGACGGACGGCGCGATTGCGCACGCCTCCGGCGCCCCGCATGCCGACGCGGCATGACGCCGGCGGACCATCCCCGTTTCCTAAAACCTGCCGCGCCGTTCCCGTGCCGCGCACGCGCCCCGCCCGCGGGCGAACGACAACCCCCGCACACTGCGCACGGCCCGCCCATTGGCTGCGCTCGCGTCGCAGACGCAGCCTCACCATATGCACGCGCCCCCCACACGCACACCCCGCCCCCGTTTGCCCCACTTCTCACCCGAAGCGGTGCCCGCGATCTAGGCACCAAACAGGCCTTGCCAACACGCCGCCCTCGCGTCCCGATCGTTATTTCCGAGAACTTCTCACCCCCTCTTACTGCACAGTATTGAGGAACTAACGCTCGAGAGTCAATCGCTGAGCCGCTGCCCAACACCGCCCTGCGTGCTCGTTCGTGCCCAATCCACCCACACCGCGCACTTCACAAATACCAACCGTCAATACTGATATGCCTAAGATTCGTTCTTGTCTTCCGCTTCCTGCCACTCTCTTCAAATTCATGTTTCATATCTTCACTTCTGCTTTTATAAATCATAAGGTTGCGAAACCACAGCCTGGCGACCAAAAACTCATCGTAACACCCCACTGCCCCTCATCTACTCCACAATCAGACACGTGCATACTGCATCTCGTGTCCCCTTTTGTGTAGTACTGTACTGTCTGCCCCTCTTGGGCACTGTACGCAGTAACTCCACCTCTAAACCTTTTCATTACAGTACACCACTTTCACCGTATGGCCCACCTACTCAATTCGTGATCCCAACCATTCTATCGTGCCCGTGCAGCAAGAAAAGATGGGAGAGAAAAAGTAGAACAAGAAGGAAAACCCCCTTTTTTCACCTTCTCACCTGCTGAGACCCCAACTAATCCAGTACAACGTTACAGAGCGGCTTGACGCTCAAACTCAGGCCAAGGCTTCATGGGAGACACGTGCAGAAATGCTCATCAGTCAATCAATCCATCCTCCATGCCGCAACCCGTCCATGATGCCTTGCTCCAAAATCACCGCGCCTTACTTATTTTTTATAATTATGAAACCTGCGAAACAGCTCCCGTCAGCAATTCTCTCAACTGTACGCCGCCACCTCCTTCTGTACCATATGTTTCTCCGACCCAACCTTCTCGCGTCTCAAATCCATCCGTGCACCGTCGATTTGAATCCAAGGCATTTGTCAACAAATGGGATTCAAATCGTGACATCACTCCCTATGCACAACCAAAACTACACCACCACAATCCACTGTCAAACCCTCTGCCGAACTCGCCCAAACTCCAGTTACCACTAATTCTAACCATACGCCGCCATTCTTACACATATTAACTACCCTATCAATACAGTATACAGTAATATAAATATCCCTCTTGCGTCGATGTCCAGAGACTTGAATTGACTTGAAGAACGAGATCACAGCCCTCGCTCGGAACGCGACTCTTGCTTCTGAGGATGCGCAGTCGGGCTACATTCATTGTTCAATGTGAAAACAGCATCACAATATTTATCATCAATCCTTACGCCTTACTTCATATCAACTACTCTCATGCCTGAATAAAGACTTCTGATTGCAGGCGTTGTATGGCTTGGAAAAGGTCGCAGGGATCACCCCCATGTTACAGCTCTTGCCAGAAGATTGCCCAGTTTATATTCGTTACCAGGGCAAGGGGAAGCCTTATCCCTGTGTATCCGTGCCAATATCTCGGTGTTTAAACCTCGTCGCAATCGTGAAGGGATCTGATCGTTGTTCTGCGATGAGAAGCGCAACGCTTGGTCTGAACTGCTAAGAATTTTCTGCCTGTCCAAACCCTGCCGAGTTGGGCTCAGAGAATGGCTATTCCGTCATCAGTTGATACCCCTACATATCGTTAAAGAATCTTCAGTTTCCGAGTTCATGGGATGACCTTAGAGTCACACAAGGACTCGCTTGTAGTTTTTGTTCACTGTTTCATCTTTGCATAGCCGCAACGTTCTCTGTTGCCCACTTCTCCTCAAAATGATGCAGTGCGACAAGCGGTGCGGGTAGGAGCAAGCATTCCGGGACGATGATTGGTTGAGCACACATTCTTTCGACTTGAAGCAAAGAGACTGCCCGTTCGAAACAGATAGCTTCGGATACAAGACATGCTGCCCTGCTTAGTGATATTGTAATTGGGTAAGTATTCGCACTGCGTTGTGTCAACCAACGTTCTACAGCATGTGGTGCCTCTGAATGCCTTTTCACCTATATTCGTTCAAATGAATGCTTAACTTACCCGTAAGCATTGTCCAAGACTGCCGAGACCTTGAGTGGGTCTGGTTGGAAAGGAAAGGCGTATAACGATTCAATATAATCTCGGCTGCTGGCAAAAAATACGTGCTACAATATAGTTTCCTACTTTTATCTTACGTCTAGGCAGGATGTCCGAAGTCCCGGAGATCGGCAGGACACCTATCACCTCTTAAACACATCTCGGCTATCACCAAATCGTGGCGCTTTCAGCGCACCCTTACACTCTTCCCATAAAGTTTACTAGTTGGACCCTCCTCCCTCCACTGGTGCCCAGGGTCTGCTGTACTGTGTGCATGCGGCCGTACAAAATATAGCGAGCGACAAGTGACGGAGACCATTGCTTAAATGCCTTGTGGCAGGGGTTATACTTATGTAGTACATGCTGAGATAGGGGTTGAGTGGGGGAAGGGCAATTCTCTTTTTCATAGGGGGTGATGAGAACAAAGACGACTGGTGGCTGGGGAAGTGCCCCTTTGAGAATAAAAGGGGATGTGGCGGTATTTATAAGCGACTGGCAGTTGCAAGGAGGTTTGAGGGTACGAATGGAGTACGAACAGCATATGGAGAGGGCACCAACCTGAAGTGCTGGCATCACACTGTTGATTATTGTAGGATGTTCGGCGTAAGACACACGGAAACTAACAAGTGCACCTTGATTTATTCAAACGGATATATGGGATGGGGCCTCCTGACTGAACCCTGTTTAGATACAGTACAACAGCCCCTCAATCATCTAACGTCGGCCAGATATCAATCAAGGTAGCATTCGTACATTTCTGCTGTATTGAACAATCTAGCGAGATGTTCGTGTTGATTACGTAAAACATCACCTGTTGACATGTTTCAAGCGATATCCGAGAAAGAGGCAATGCTTAACATGAGACAAAGCCGTTGTTTCAAAGATATAGCTCCATGCGGCATGAACCAACTGTATTGACGCGTCCCCGAAGCAGAGCAGACCGCGATAGAGCTGGTTGGTAATGCTCATCATAATGACTAGTGTGTGCCAAAGCCCAAATCTCGCAAACAATGCACTGGCCGTCAGAATTTCGCAACAGCACCTCTGAAGCCGGAATACGAGACACTTGGACGTGCTGTGAGTTTAAAAAAGTGGAACCACCTTTTAAATTCACTTGGAGGGTCCACGTATGAAGACGACGAAGCAAGTGTTCTCCCAATACCTGCTCTCTCGTGTCTTTGCTTCCTCTGCCCATCTCAGTATAACTTCCCTTGTCGCCTTATTTGATTATTTCCTCGCAAGTTCTTGGCATAATGCACTTTTCTATCAGTTTTGGCCTCTGTGAAGAGCATGTTAGAAAGCAGCCCCTTTCAGCACCAGGAGCGCTGCCCTTAGACGCTGCAGATTAACAAAAAGGAACTGTGTATCGATAAGTTGAGAGCACATGACCAGTTTAGATTCACAGACAACACATTTACGTACTTCGCAGTTTTTCGAATGCCTTGACTCCTTCGGTGTCGTCCTTTGTAGCGATAGCAAATCGTTACCCCTCTTGCCGTATAGCCAGTGCGGGTACGAGGCGTAGTCCATACTGTGACTGGTACAGTATACTGTACTGAAAGAATTTTACCGTACTGGGGCGTATCCGACCCTTTATTATTAGACCAAAGAGAGAATATAGAACGAAAAGATGTCGAAGTTGGTTCAGCCTTCTGTGCTGAATTCGAGACAATTGCCATTTAAGAAATGTAGCTTAAGATTCGATTGCGCTTCTGCAGAATACAGGGATATGTACACCAAGCAGGTGGTTTGTCAAAGTCAAACCAGAACAAGTTCGACCCACTGAATGAGGTACAAGTGATTACTGTGCCTGCTCTTCAGGAAAACGATTTACAGCTGTGTCTCGAGAAAATTTAACACACTGTACCAGAAGCCTTCTGCGAGCCGGCTTCCCGGGTTGCTCTTCGTCGTGTGTGGCCCATCCCGGATCATTTCAGACGAAGGCGACAGTACAGAGCCCTGTGATCAATCTGTCGTCGTGCTCTAGCCCCAGGTAGCCTACTGATTTTAGGAACGAAATCGTCATTGCGAAGAATAGACAAATTTTGTGGGGTTTTGTTCCGTAGACTGTACACTCAACATTCGCATCACGCATCCTTCGACTCAGACATCCTAACATTGACGCACTCGCTATTGTTTGCGCTCACATCAGTAATTCAGTGACGTTTTGTTCAAGCAACTCGCATAGGTCCTTCAGAAACCGAGCGCCATCTGCTCCGTAGATATGCCTGTGATCTGCTGTTAGTGTTACGTTCATTTGCTTTTCAACGCCGACAAGGCCGTTGCTTTGAAGTCCGACGACAGGTTTTGAGGCACCAATTGCCAGGATGGCCGGTGCCCCCGGCGGCAGTATTGCGTCGAACTGATCAACGCCAAACATGCCTAGGTTGCTGACGAAGAAGGTCCCGCTGTTGTACTCATCTGGGGAAAGCTTCTTTTCTAGAGATCGCTTCACAAGATCCTTCCAGCTTCTTGATAGACTGTATAAGTCTACTTGGTCCGCCTTCTGTAGAGTTGGGGTCATTAAACCCCCATCCTTCAACGCCACAGCCATTGCAATATTGATCTCAGGTCGATACAAAATAGAATTGTCTACGTATTGTGCGTTCATGATGGGATGCTCTGTCAGCACAACAGCCACGGCCTTGGCTAAAAGAGCCGACATAGTTACGCCCTTTGCCTTCACCTTGGCATACAAATCATCAAGGGCTGCTGTCTTGATGGAGTAGGTAAGTCGAAATACTGGGACATTCACGGAGGCATTCATATTCTGCACCACTGCCTTTTGCATACTATTCATGACGACAGCCCCAGCAGGGAGTGCTTCCTTCTTATCCTTTGTTGCTGCCTTGGCTGGAGCAGACGCCGGCGCTGATGGTTTGGGTTTGCCTGCTGGAGCCTTCCCTGCCGCTTTCAGGACGTCCTCTGCAGTGATACGACCAAAATTGCCAGTCCCTGTGATGCTGTTGATATCAATCTTCTCCTTCTTCGCAATCTTCTTCGCGTCGGGCGTAGCAATAACCTTCCCTGATGGAACAACAGCTACCGACGCATCAGGTACGGCCCCGGAAACGCCAGACTCCTCTGCCTTACGGACGTCGGCCTCAACGATGCGACCGTTGGGGCCAGTCCCAACGACGTACCGCAGATCTACACCGACTTTCTTCGCCACGACTTTGGCATACGGGGACGCGATGATCCGACCTGAGTTCACAACCTCTCCCTGTGCAGGTGCAGCTGGTGGAGCGGTGGGGGGTGCCTGCGTGGGCGCCGGGGTTGTCTCAATGGCTGCCACCGGTGGAGCTACCAGTGGAGAAGGTGAGGACTGAGAGATCGCCCAGGCCTTGACTGCTGCCGCTTCCGCTTCAGTCTTGGACATGTATGCAACTACACCGCCGACGGTGGCCGATTCGCCTTCATCGACGGAAATATGAGCAAGGAAGCCGGTGTCAAAAGACTCGACGTCCATGTCTGCCTTGTCACTCTCTGCGACCATAACAAATTCGCCGCTTTCAACCTTTTCACCCTCGCTCTTCAACCATTGGACAACCTTCCCCTCGGTCATTGTGGAGGATAAGGCTGGCATAACAATCTCGATGAAATCGGGCTTGGCCGCTACGGGTGCTGCCGGTGGGGCCTGCGGGACAGCGGGAGTTTCAGTTTCCGGAGGGGCGACAGCCGTGGATGTTGGGGCTTCGGCAACGACTGAGTTGGAGGGAGAGGTGTCGGCCTTAACTTTGTCAATGTCATCCTTGTTCTCGACGATGATGCCGACCGTGACGCCGACGTTGCAAGTATCACCCTCCTCGACGTAGATAGCAGCGAGATAGCCCGATTCGAAGCTCTCGACGTCCATGTCGGCCTTATCGCTCTCGACAACCATGATGGGCTCGCCAGACGAAACTTGATCTCCAGGCTGCTTGAGCCATTGGACGACGCGGCCTTCAGTCATGGTGGAGCTGAGGGCAGGCATGAATACCTCGTGCTTCTTGACGTCGAGGACTTGCATGGTGATCTTTGGCTGATTCTTGGCGAGATTGACATTGACAGTTCGTGGCCGTACGCTTCGGCGGAAGGCAGTGCATCGCAGGAATGGGCGGGAGACGAACGAGGTTGCCGGGAGGGTGCGAGCGTTGCTACCCGTAGAGGCGATCGCACATTGGGTGACGAATGCCATGATTTGTTTGGGTAATAGTTGCTACGGTGGGAAAGGTGCGATGGGGACAACGACGGAGAAGGGGTTGAACCAACGCGAGGGAGCCGGGCGGTTACAAATGATTAGGAGCGAGACCTACAAGGCAGCGGGTCTTTGAGGGAGCACTCCGCTTCAACCACAGGCGACCGAGCTCAACCTGAATGATACAGTGGTCCTTGACGCTTGGCGATACTTGATTGGTAATAAATAGGATTGGTGCGCTGTCAATGGATAAGAGGGGTGATCTGCATGTCGGAGGACATGGGGATTGGTTTGGATTGATCTTCTCGGAATTGGTTGAATGATCACAACCTTTTTGCAGTTTTTTCGGTCATTTTATAAGTCAACTGTGTCGTATCATAAACAGACTACAGTATTTCCATGCCGTGTGCCTGTACTACACAATGCAGTGGCGCAGGCTACTCGCTGTTCGAACAAACCGTACACGGTTACTTCAGGACTCGCTCCATCCTTCACAGTAACTGCTGCCCTCCTCCTTCGACACCGGTTTCAGCATCAGTAATGTGAACGTGAAGGGTGACCAGCTGCTATTGTGAGACAACAACTCACCTTGTTTCATGTTCAACTTACCAAAATGGAAAGCAAGAAGCCGCTCACTCTTCAAACAGAACTGGGCGCATTCGGCGGGGAGGCCTTCTACAAGACCCAGTTGGAGCTCGCCAACAAGGAGAAGGCTCAACTGCAAGAGCGTCTTCGCGAGGTAGAAACGAAGAATGCCTTCTTGCTTAAATCTCTCTTCGAGCTGTCAGTGGCCCCCCCAGGCACTACCGCGGCCAAGGCCATGCCCCTCGACATCGTCACCGCTCTCAAAAAAATGTCCCTACCCGCCGAGCAACCTCCCGGTCTCTCCGGAAAGGGCTCTGCATACCGTCGCACAGCCCCACTAGATCGGGTATCGATGGAAGCCTCATTTTCAGGAGTCGGTGGGCACATCAACACCAATTTCACCCCGTTCCGGTATCGCGGTGAGCTCAAAGGACACGCCTCGGCCGTATACACAATCCAGTACTCCCCGAGCGGCCAGCTGCTGGCCTCCACATCATTCGATCGCCGTCTGTGCATCTGGTCTATGGATAGATTTCTGGAAAAGAGCAATTATGCTCCCAAACTTTCCATTTCTGACGCCCACCGCGGTCCTTGCGTCGCCGTCGAGTGGGGCTCGCATTCTGCTCGAGTCGTCACCGGGGGCTTGGACCAGTCGGCTGCCGTATGGGACGTTGACTCGGCGCGCTACGACCCTGTCTCGCGCTACCTGTGCAACGGCTTGGTGAATTCTGTCAGCATTTCGCCTGCAAACGATGAGCTCTTTCTCGTTGGTACTTCGAGAAATTCTGTTCATCTGTTCGATAGACGTGTGGAACCAGAGGCCTCGGGAGCTCCGTGGGGCCGACACACGCTTGTTGACAATGACTGCCCCGTCAACTCGATACACGTGACACTAGACGGCAACCGAGTGATTACGGGCGATCATGGTGGTGCCATCAAGACTTATGACTTGCGCAAAGTCGGGCCAGGCAAGTCGAGCGACGTCGGGGCGCGTTCTTGCTCTTTGACGGACGTGACGTACAACGACGCGAACCATCGCCCCATTACGCACGTGCACACATCGCCGCCGACGTCTGTGGAGGACTACGGGCGGTTCATGGCTGTGAACTCGTACGACAATTTCCTGCGGGTGTACGACCGAGGGTCGTCGCTTCTCAAGGGAGAAAAACCTGAGCTGAAGGCCGTGCACGCACTGTCGGGGATCAAGAACACGCACTGGCCGATAAAGTCGAGCTTTTTCATGGGCTCTGACTACCGGCCGCCAAGCAGCGGCTCCAAGCATCGCAGGCAACGGCGGGCGCGAGAGTCGAGCAAGGCGTCAACGACGAGCGCGGAAGGGCGCGGGGTGGAAGATGAGGACCGATATGCGTCGTCGTCAGAGGGCGGGGACGAGCTTTCGTATAGCAGCTCGAGCGAGGCCGCGGAGAACGAGGCGGTGGATGAGGAAGAGGCGGATGAGGCGGGGACAACGATCGGCGGACCGATCCAGAACTCGCTGATTCTGGCGTCGGGAAGCGCGGACGGAAATATATGTTTGTTCGATGTCGGGGGCAGACCGGGGACTGGGGCGCTGTTGCAGACGTTGGAGGGGCATAAGGATCGGGTGTATGGTGTGGACTTTCATCCGAATGAGCCGATATTGGCGTCGTGTAGCGCGGATTGCGGGATCAAGATTTGGCAGTCGTTTCGGTAACGGCCGCTGAGCCAGGAGAGCTGAAGATCTTGTCTGGTGTAGTGTCTATTGGACCTTTGTTCTGATATGAGGACATTATTTGAGCTATTTTGTTCTTGACTTGCGCTTCCTCGACAAGAAAAAAAAGATACCCCCGCCACCGTACTTGACTTCTGACTTTGGGACAGAAAGAACTTTGTGAGGGTTGCATGTTCTTCCTCGTCATTTTCAGATATGTCTGGAAAAGAAGCTTTTTTAAACCACCTTAAACCCGCATGTAAAATAACTTCGAAACCGAAGCCGCCAGTTTAAAAGGGAACAATGTACTCAATTACTCAAGCAGTAAGTTCTTAGTCTTTCTGGATATTCAAAGCTGCTATCTGTCATGACGCAACCTGTCCAGATGGACAGGCGGACACGACTGACAACAAGGATACAGTAGACGACCGAAGTGGATTAACTTTATTTAAAGACAGGGCTGTGTCCTAGCAGTGATGTACCACCCTTACATCCTACTTTAAATGGCAAGAGCCTCCGTCCGACCAACTGACTTCCCCTCGAGTCATCATGTTCTGCGAGATGTTATTGCCGAAAATAAGCACGTTAAAGAAATAGTGTCCAAGATAGATGTTTAAATGTTCGATTTAAATTATATATTTCTGCAAAAAAAGAGCTGTCCTCATAGGAGAACAAGCCCCCCTGGAATAGACACAAGCAGCGGTGCGTTGGTTCTCGTTGGCAAGTATGGCCATCCAACACGGCACAGCGCCGTCGGCGACTATCATAAAAGCATCCTGAGCGGTATGCATCGTACTGTATCCTTGGGTACAGCATCTTGCAGACGACTGGTGCTCGATACCTCAAGGAAGATGTTGATCTAAAGGGCATAGACCTTGACAAAGCTACGGTAGAGACGTAGAGATCAGCTGGTGCCAGCTGATCTCTGCCAGCAGACACAAACTGCAAAACGACGAGGATACTGACACTGCTGGTGCTGGCACCACTGCTGGCACCAGCAGTGTTGCTACATTTACTGGTACACTACTAGGCAAAAGTACTGTATCAGAGCCATGCCCTTCCATTGTCGTTCTCACCTCATTCTCAGCTTTTCCGTGCTGTAAATAAGTCACTGTAAGCTATCCGCCGACGCCATGGTACGGTGAACTGTGTCCAGCGGCTTAATTGTGCCCTCACTTGCCACTCGTTTTTCGCCGCAGCACCGCGCCCGGCGAGTTGCGAACATCCTGTTCTTCACGCGCTTGTCGCCCTCGGTGCCTCCCCAACCGCGTTCGCGCGCGACGATTCCAATTCCGCACCATCCCCTCCACCATCCACAAGAAAATTCTGCCCTATGGATTTCGAAGCACCGGCCCCGAGTGTTGAGCACCAGCGTGAGCCCTGCCCGCACAGAATTATCGACGGTATGTCCACAAAAACCCTCTTCCCCCACACCACAACCGACACACCCATCACCACCCTCCTCCAGAATTGACTAACCCTGCTCCTATCGTACGGACTGCATTTGTTGTTTGCTATCTACGTGACGCTTGCAGATGTCGGCGGTGCTTTCGGTATGGGCGCCATCGGCGGCTCCATCTGGCACTTTCTGAAGGGCGCGCGCAACTCCCCGCAGGGCGCGCGCTTCATCGGTGCCATAGACGCCGTCAAAGTCCGCGCGCCGGCGCTGGGCGGCAGTTTTGCGGTGTGGGGCGGCCTGTTTTCCACTTTTGATTGCTCTTTGCAAGGCATCCGCGGGAAGGAAGACCCCTGGAACTCGATAGCGTCTGGCGCGCTCACAGGTGGTGTCTTGGCCAGTCGCTCGGGCATGCGTGCAGCGGGGAAGAGCGCGGCTGTAGGGGGGGTGCTGCTCGCCCTGATTGAGGGTATTAGTATCGCCATCACTAGGTATGGTAGTAGCAGGCCGGCACCACAGGAAATCAGCAAGATGAGGGAAGAAATGGAAAAGCAGAGGGGGCGTGAAGGGCTTGCGGCCGCGGCTGCGAGCCAATGAAAGTTTTTAGCATTGGAGTGATGGTGCGGGGAGGGGGGGGGGGGGCTGGGGCGGCGGTATTCGGATGGGGGCGGAGGAAGCTTGTGTTATGAAGGCCGGCGTCGATGGGGGTTGCAAGCGTTTTTGGTCGGGTACATAGTAGACGTTTTCCTATCTGTTCGTATCTTTTCGTTGTAAAAAATTTATGTCATCTCTATGCATGTGTTTGGGATCGTCTGCCTAGATTGTCATTGTAGGGAGGCTTATCCTCAAGTACATAGAGGACGGGCGTCTACGAATGGCCACGATGGGTCGATATTGTTCGCTAGACTCTGCATGGGAGATTATATATATTTGAGACAACCGCGTCCTTTCAAAAATAAACATACGTTTGTGTGCTTTACGTACGCAAAAAATCCCTTTTTTAAGTGCTTTGGAAAAATGCACCGGTTTTGACGCCGCGTAGTTTAGTGCACTCTCTGAACTGCGGTCAAGTTCATATGAATAGAAATTAAGATAAAGTCTTTAGCTGAAGATATCAGCAAAATGACCAGTCAATCTCATCCCCACCGCCACCCATTTCGAACATTGTCCTATCGTATTGCTCAACCGAATGAAAGTACTTCATTTGATCCCTTAATTCGGCGGGAAGGGGCGGCAACAGTCGAAGTGGAATGAGGAGGGTGGAGAGATTGGCCAGATCGGCAAAGACCTTTTGTGAGTCAATAGTCCGTTTTAAATACGAATGTCCAAGGCTACCACCTGTGCCCATCTTGATGCCAATCATTCGGTGTACCATCTGCGAGTGACGATACCGCCACTGATTCATTTGCTCATCGACATCGATGAGCATCTGAAGAAGTCTCGCTGGGAGCTGAAACATTGGTTCGTCCTGATACAGCATAATCATAAGCGAAGTGGACGTAGCCCGAAACCCAAGCCTCCTTTCTTTTGACTGAATGAGCTCTTCGTGAATTTCGCGTTTGAAGACAGATTCAAATGTGCGATGAGTATTCTGGAGGTCGCGTAACATGGCGCTACGTTCGGCCGGTTCGAGCTTTTCGTTAATGTTGTTGTGTTCGATTTCAAACATTTTGGAAATTGCTTCCTCATAGCTGCGCTGGAAACTGTAGCCCCTAAACTCACGAAACGGGATATTCCTCAACCACCTCTCGACATAGTCGAATAAAGAAGGCTCCTGCTGAGCCTCTCGTAAGAGCTCTTGGTGCTCAGGTGAGATATTGAGAATCCAACGGGGATTGAGCCTTTGATCCGGACGAACACCGAGTTTGATTTCCAGGAGACGAAACTGGAACGACTGAAAGCCCGAAGCCGGGAAGAGGTAATCTCGAAACTCGAGAAACTCCTGCGGAGTCATAGTCTCGAGAACGCGAATCTGATCGTTGAGCAGCTTTTGAATCTCTCGAATTCTGGTGAGACGATGCAATGCCAGAGAGATGCGCTTCTCGCCGATGTTGAGCTCTGCGAGAATGGCGCGGACGGAATCGAGTTCGAAGATGAGCTGTTTAAACCAGAGCTCGTAAGTCTGGTGAATGGTAATGAAGAGCATCTCATCGTGACAGGGGTTTCCGCTAGCAAAGGAGATGGGATGCTGGCAGTCAAGTAAGGAGCCTAGACGCAGATAGTCAGGGTAGTACAGCTTGCCGCGGCCGGCCTCGGTAAGGCCAATGCCAGACGAGGAGGCACGGGAGTCAGGGGATTTTGCAGAGAAGGGACATCCAGAGGAAGCGCTGAGCGGAATAAAGCGGGGGGGAGGCTTGGAGGGGACGGCGGCATGGGGACATTGGCTGGGGGGTGCGACACCAGGAGAAGAGTTTGAGACGGTGAGCTGGGCTAGAGCGACAGACGGATCTTCAATTGGGGCAGGCTGCGGATGCACAGAGGCGGTCGGAAGCAGGGGAAGGGACATTTTTGAGAGGAGGGTGGGGTCGGGGGCTAGGGTTGGCGGAAGTGGAGGGCGAGAAGTATCGGAGAACCGGACGGGAGCAGAGAGCTGCGGAGGGTTGTTATGAGGAAAGTGGTCAAAGAGGTTGCAAATGTGAGGTAGTACCGAGGGGTAGTACTGCCGTAGTACAGCGAGGCGTGAGGATGTGGATTGTGAGTCGTGTGAGAGGGCCCGCAGTTGATTTCTTTACTTTCTTTAAAGTTTACACACCGAGATGGACGTGTCGAGAGCGGCACTGCGCGGCGCACGGGTTCCCTCAGGTTCCTCTGGGAACCACTCCCCGATGGATTGCATCACTGCCTGCCCCGTCCTCATATACCACGTGTCCTTACTTCCTCACCCCCACCGTCCACCTGTCCCACTGAGCACCATCCAATCATTTTTATCCATCTAAGTTCCGTAAACCTCCCTTGCCACACGTCACAGACGCAGAACACGTGGACACGCATGACACCCAGCTTCGTACTCCACGTATGCCCCAACGCCTGAGCTCCCACACCACTCCCCGCTGACCTCATTCAGGTCCCCCCCATGCCCCACCATCGCTCACCTCATTTTCATTTCCCGTCCCTGCCGTCCCCCGCCCTTGCCCACCTTCCTCACAAATCTCCACCGACTCACCATGACTACTGCCTTCGCCGCCGCCGCCCCTCTCTCTGCTGCGCGTCCATCGACGGCCGCCTTCACTCCCTCGGTCTCCCGCCCTCTCCCTCGCCCGGCCGCCGCCACCGTCACCATGCGTTCGCGTCGCGACCTCAAGAAGGAGAAGAGCCTGCGCAATCTCGAGTTTGCCCGCGCCCATCGAAAGCGCGTCATCAAGCGTTACAATCGCCGCGCGGCTCAGGAGGCCATCAGCAACGAGGACAACGAGTACCTCTCCTCCATCTACGGCACCATGCGCTTCGGCTCGGACAACAACGATAACCGCAGGCAATGATCTCTCGTTTTAATTGCAAGTAAACCTACCTGCTACCCTCTGCGTCTCCCCTCTTCCCGTCCGCCCCGCGCGTGCTCCGTCTCCACGTCGTGCAGGAACATCCCCAGCTCGCGTGCCCCGATGAACACCGAGTGCCCCGCCACCCGCGCGTGCATCTCCCCGTCGGCCCCCTGCCCTTCCTCTACGCGCGGCACCAGCCCTTCCAAAATCCCTACGCACATCCCGCGCGCCCGATCCAGCACCACTGGCCCCCCGCACATCCCCATCTCTGTATCCACCGCCCCCGTGTCCACGAATCCCCGCGACTTGACCACTTCGGAGACCTCTCCGCTCGTCTCGGCCCCTACTACAGCTTCCACTCCAGATCCACTCTCCCCAACGAGTCGATAACCCGAGATCATCACTTCTGTTCCGATCCCTCCTCCCTCCGTCTGCAGCTCGAGCACCTGTGTGTCCGCCCGATCGCACACAGCAGACTCGTCCACTATGAATGCTGCTACGTCCAGGGAAGCATGCCGAAATCCTGTCGACAGTGCTAGCGTCCCGATGGAGCCCGTCACGATCTTTCCGTCCTCGCTGCGCGTCTCTAATACCGATCGGCAGTCCGAGTCTCGTACGTGCTGTAGCCACTCTTGCGGGAAGTACCGTGGGAACCGATGAGGTGCCGCTACATGCGCTGAAACCACTGCTATCACCGCTCCTGTCGTTGGACCACGGAGATAAAACCCAGATCCTCGAGCCAAAAGTTCGTAATCCTTCTGCTCAACAAGTAATAGTGTTCTGCGTATGTCAGCTGAACTGCATGTTTAGCAGCTTGTGTGCTGTCCCGATCGTTATGCGTAGACGTAATAGCGTCTTACTTACCATCCCTTGCTCCTCTATCTTAAACCATGATGAGTGCGCAGCCGCCAAGCTGCTCGCCAATCTTCGACGCAAATGCCCACCGCTTCGTACTCCCAATGCACAACTCAGCATACCTGGGGTCGGGAAGGCTACACTGCCTTCTTAATTCTTGACCTCCTTCGCTGTGTGAGGGCTGATAGGTAATGTCGAATCCTCTGGAAATAATCATGCATTAAAAAATTAGCATCGTGTTAAATACCTCCCAAGAGGCAGCACTATGGCTGAGTCATCTACAGTGTAGTTAAAATGTTTACGCTAGGCTGTGGTACAGATATAGAATAGAACATTCAGGCAAGGTTTCGAAGGACAACCGCCATCGACCGAAGGTGGCGGATGTGCTCACAGAAAAGAAGTGGACTTTCTTCTAATGCTTCTCTTTCTCAGCCCTTTGTCCTATATTCTGCCCTGCGCGTCAAGCATAGCCATAGATAAGCCTTACCGAGTTGCCTGGACCCCGACAAATACCATCACTCCAATAAAAGCGAGTAAGAGAACTAGACAGGGACCAAAGACAGTCGCCCCGTGGCTTCTTTTCACCCATCTCCCACGCAACCAAACAGCTCGGAACACTCGAACTTGATTCCAATCCGTCCGGCCTTCATACTTCAGTTTGTTTAAAACTAATGCAACATGGTGATGACAGTTGTCCGTGAAGAGGTTGTGGAACCGCTTTCCATAAACACAAGCAGCTTCCACGACTGCGTCGTCGTACGCTTTCTCCGTGTTTCCAGCTCCTTTAACTTCGTGTATTTCGGCTGGGTCCAACCGCCACACCCTCTTAGGTGGGCCGCACATAAGTGACCCAACTGTAACCTGTCTCGCACAACGAAAACAAGACATAACTGAATTAGAATCCTCTGTCTTTTGTCTGATGGGCAATGCGGGTCGTTTCTAACTTGATGTTTAGAAGCAAGGAGAACGGACCGTGTAAGGACCAGAAAAGTCAAACGTGATACCTTTCGAGTCTGCGATGCCTACATGTCCAATCGGCGGCAGCAAGAAAGAAATACCCGGAAGCGTTGTCCACACCACGCTGTAGGGTTCGCGCTCTCCAGAGACCGGCATATAAACAACTCCATCACTCCTGATATGCGCACAGGCCATTGCTTTTCCTTAGCGGACAACCGAAGTCCAAGGGAAGCGGGCGTGTGGTTTAGGCGTCGCTCGCGATGCAAACACCTGACGACTCTTTCGTCGGAAGGGCTTGAAGACCTGAAATCAGGAAGCAGAAATCATTGCGGGCATTGCACCCGTTGTGAAGCGAGAGTTGAACACACTTAAAATATGTGCTCCAATGTTTCAACATAAAAATATTTTCAGACATCCCATAAATTTTACGCTACACTTTTTCCCTTTTGGATGGAGAAAACAAAAAAGTGCTCAACCATATTATGCAAAGAGATGTCCGATACCTGGTTAAAGTGTGGTACTAATTCGACATCTCTTGCAATAAGGGGAGGGAGCACTGGAGTTTCTATTCTTCCTCTTACTCATCGTTCGAAACGTTTGGAGTTTTGCCTTTTTATACATGGACTACCAGGTGTTCTATAAGTCACCCCCGAGATGCCTCACCGGCAATGATGAAGAAACCGTGACGTTGGTAAATTTCCGTTGCGAGATGACGGGGATCATTTCGCTGATATCAAAACAAGGAAACTGCTGCATGAAGAGTTGATTACTCCAGATTTTAATTGCAATCGAAACGCCACTACGAAAAGGAAACGAAACGCCAACGTTGTCATCTGACTTCTGCGATACATAGCACTTCTGAAAGTGTCGTTATCATGGACTTGCGCCCACATTCCTGACGTTGTTAGTGACTTGTCTTTCTACATGTGGCCCGTTCAGTAAGAGAAAACCAAAACTGCAAGTAGAGCCTTAATGACTTTGAAGTTGTAATGCCAACCGCTCCATCACGGGAGCAGTGATGTTCCTTCGCACTGGTGTAGTGCGGCCCACAGATACAGTGTGCTGGAAAGGATTCTCTGCAGACATCTTTCTCTAGCTAAGTGCCTTGTAGAGCTCTAGCTGGAGAGAAGGGAAGCGATTTGCCTCAAGTGATGCCAGCTTTTTATGCCAAATATACTGTATATACTTTAAATCGCAAATGAAGAACGTCACTTTCAACTCTTTGACGTACTTGCCCTCGGCTACAACATCTTGCAGAACATCGGGATAGCTCTCTTGAGCCCCCCTCGCAGTCGTTAGCCCCCAATTCCCCAGCTAGACGGTACAGAGCAATAGTGCGACAGAGATTAATTACCTCGCACAGCGGTCTTGTTCTCTGAAGGCACCGCTTCTGTCATTCTGGATTTGTCCACAAAAGCATTTCACTCTCAATTTTATTTAATTAAATTTACAGTGACGGGTATCCCAGGGTGTGCCCCACTGGTTTTCTTTTCTCCTCTTTGAGGAAAAATCGATTTGAACTGCTTTAAATTTTCGCGGGATTCTATGCGAAGATTTTGCACATGACGAGGTGGATAACTGCACCAATGTTCACAAATTGTGGAGAAAAAAGGGCCTATGGCTGGTGAGTAGGTTCCATGAGATGCCCCTCCAATCACTCACCTTCACAAAAACGAAAACTTTTTCAGAATCTGACCTTCCCCAATCACGGATAACCTTCGAATCCACCCCATGCGCTCACCTTCCCCTACATCAGAGGTCCGATAATCTGACCTTCGAGTTATCAGGCAACTCTGCAGCCGGGGACTTGCTGGTAGGCTCTGCACAAGTCCGGCCGCTTCCTTCTTGCGAGGCTGTTATCCTGCCTAGAAAAGATAACGGCGAAGATGTGGTCAAAATTCTTTGCGACAAAGGCTAAAACGCCAGAGGACGTGGTGAAAGCCCTCCGTGACAGTTTGCAGGAAGGCCATTCACAAGGCGATCCTCGTGCTTCAAGGAAGACACATGATGATGTTTCCCGTGCAGTATTCTCAATGAAAGTCATGCTGTTCGGCGATGCGAGCAATGACGTCGAAGTGAAACCACAGCACGTGGATGAGTTAGTGCGTCTGGCATGCAAAGGTGATTTGCTCACGCTAATTGTCAGCAACCTCTCCATGATGGAATTTGAAACCCGCAAAGACGCCGTCCAGATTTTTAACAATCTCTTACGCCGAGATATGGAGGACAACCCGGAAATGAGCGTCGCTTCTAAAGTGGCCGAAGAAGACGGCGCTGTGCTAGCAACCATTGTCGAAGGGTACAGCAGTGGCGATATTACGTTAAACTGCGGTTCAATTCTGCGGGAATGTATTCGCCATGAGACACTTGCCAAACTGCTTCTTGAATCAGTCTTCTTTTGGCGTTTTTTCGAGCTTGTCGAGCTGAGCGATTTTGACGTGGCCAGCGATGCGTTTGCGACTTTCAAGGAGGCACTCACAAAGCATGTAACTATCAGCGCCAAGTTTATCGAAACAAACATGGACCGCTTTGTTGAGAGTTACAACGCACTCTTGAAAAGTCAAAATTATGTTACGAGGCGTCAAAGTCTGAAATTACTTGGCGAAATGTTGAGGGAGCGCGCAAACTATCGGATAATGACGCACTACATCGCATCACCTGGGAACCTCAAACTGATCATGAACTTGTTGCTCGACAGCCGGAAGAACATCCAGTTTGAAGCGTTCCATGTTTTCAAAATATTTGTAGCGAACCCGCGCAAGAGTGCGGACATTGAGCACATCCTCATTCGGAACAAGGAAAAGATGCTGGCTTACCTGACTGACTTTCTGGCGGATCGTGAAGACGAGCAATTTCAAAAGGAGAGACATCACATTCTAGGATGCATACGCGAGCTCCCAGACACCGAAGTTCGAGAGGATTCGTCCGCTGGCTGAGCACATATTTTAAGTCAGGCGTAGCCCGAATTTATCCATTGATGTATATACGATTTAAACAGAAATGCCTAACAAATGTGGCCAACGGCGCTGAATTTTCGAGCGTGAGGAAGATGTTGGGTTCCTCAGACTTTCTGTTTGTCATGATTAGGTAGTCTTCGGTCTACAACAACTTTGCATGGTTCCAGGTAAGGTGCAAACCAGTGCGTGTCGCAAACGAGCCAACAGTTTCGCCGCTATGGCCTCGTTTTGCGTTTTATTGTACCGAAAGCACAGTCATTGTAACGAAACAGGTGAAGGTCTTTATTGAGCGAGAATCTCGTGGCACCTTTTGGGGCACGATGCCCAAGTCATCGGAAATGGTCCTAGTTTTCATTGCAGAATGTGAAAAGAGAAGTACGGACGACCAGGAGACGCTTCTCTCTTCGACAGGTCGCCAATTCAAGTCCTTTTTTTTACAAGTATTTAGCATACCGCGATTGCGACATTCTGCGGGGCTACGAATTAAAAAAAAAATCTGTACCAGCAGCTGTACGAGCCGCACCCCGGCTGATGACTGCACGCACCGACGTTTCTTGAACTGTTCGTTTCTTGCAACGCAATTTGGCCAACCCCTTTCAACCGGCCAGCACAGTCTTCCACAAACGGCTTGTCTTCGTCAACATGGAAGAATAACCCGCGTCAACTGGAAGAGAGGTCAATCTGCACTCTACCGGCTTGCCATAACAGGAGTCGCAACGGGACACAACAAAAGTTTTTCTTGCTGAGGGGAGGAAGCCTCTGGGCAATTGTGAGTGGAAGGCGGGTACAGAGTGTCTTGGGTTCTTCTTGTCCAGCGCAAGAGGCGTCAGAACGAGAGAGGCGTGCGTACCCCCCCTTTCCAGCCGCGCTTTCTTATCTAGAGCGACAAAGATGAGGACCTCAAGACCCAGAATTCTCAAAATCGTCATCCTTGGTGAGAGCGGGTACGTTTCAAAGGTCACAAACAGTTTCCATCTCGTTGATATCCACAGAATTGCGCGACAAACACTTGCGCTTAACAGCATGTTCTGACGAGGGCATAACTGCACGATATTCTTCTCTTGGATAGGGTGGGAAAGACATCGCTCATGGACCGTTACGTGTGTAACGAGTTTAGTCAACAGTACAAGGCGACGATAGGGGCGGACTTTTACACCAAGGATGTAATCATAGATGACAAACCCGTGGGCCTGCAGATTTGGGATACTGCGGGTCAGGAGCGGTACCAAAGTCTTGGTTCCGCTTTTTATCGAGGAGCGGATGCATGTGTGCTAGTGTACGACATGACAGACGCGCGGTCTTTCGATGCGCTTGACTCCTGGAGAGACGAGTTTCTGATATCGGCGGCTCCGAGGGACCCTGATTCTTTCCCGTTCGTCGTGATGGGGAACAAGGTGGATGTGATCGACCGAGCGAGAGCGGTACGTGGACTGAATGGAGCCAGTTTGAGTTACTACGTGTTCCGAAAAGAATCAAGCAGCGGGAAGGTGTATTCTAACAGTATGAGTGATGGTTTTGTGTAATTGGCAATTTTTTTTGTTCGATGTGAGCAGGTACCGACGAAGAAGGCACAAGACTGGTGTTATTCCAAAGGGACGAACGTGATTCCTCTATTTGAGACGAGCGCGATGGATGACATTAACGTGGAAGCAGCTTTCGACGCAGTGGCTAGATCAGGATTACGACGCGGCGAACAAGACGAGGATTTGTAAGTATCGACACTCGGAAATTGTTTATTTGGAGCTATGATCTACATCACACAATGTGAATGCAGGGCATGGGGACAGGATGCTGACGATGTTTGTTGTTTCCTGCGTGTTGTTGTATTGTGTTGCATGCGTTTTTCTCCCATGTGTTTGCCTGACAGCATTCCTCGAGATACAGTGGAGATTAACAGAAAACCGGTAGATGAACAATGCGCGTGCTAGTTATTTTTGTTTTTTGGCTTTCCAGAAAGCCGTAAAGATATGACTTGTTCTACCGTAGACAGGGGAATAAGTGGGATTGTTTCTCTCCATGTGTGTAGCAGAAATATTAGGGCGAAGACATGTGCGGGGGAGGCACCGGGTTGCGAATACAAAGATGCCTTGTGGCGTAGCGTCGAATCTCCGGCGACTCAGGCGATGACGAATTTGCGGGTCAAACTCTAGATTGCGCAACAGTCCGACACGAGCGGGCGTCGCCGAAAGCCTGTTGGACGGATAACAGCCGCCAAACACCAGGGTGCGAAGGAGTAACATCGGAGAAACTAATCAGAGAATCAATCCAGAGATGGTTCCATTTCGTGCGTTGATCAGTGGGGCTACCGGCTACTCCGGAGCCACCCCGCCCATAAATAAACTTTAAACAAGGCGCGGGCATCAACGTGCCCGTCCCACGCGTGCCCCTCGGAGCCCCGGCACGCGCAGACGCTGAAGCAACTGCGAATATGCACTGGACAGTAAGGCTCACCCACGTGAGGCTGCCGTGAGTGGTCGCGTACCTTGGCTTACAGAGTAGAAACTTGTGGAATCGCAAGCCACGCTATGGGTTGAGACATGGGAAAGCCAAGCTTGAAATATCTGCCCCGCGTACCCGTTTTGAGCAACCAAGCATCGGGAGACCTGCAACGGAGATGTGCTCAGAACGTCCCATACACTGCCTCATTTCCAGTCATCCTCCCGCGGGCCAAACCCGTTTATCTCTCAAACCCTCAATCCAGCACCTACTTCCCCAAGCTGCCGACTCTTTCGTTCTTCCGTCGCTTTCACTTCGTATCTCTCCCCTGCCAGCCACATCTTGCCCCATCTGCCCTCCCCAACACCCCCCTCCATCGTCATCCTCCCTCACCCACTTCACAGTTCGGCTGCGTGTCTCAAATCGCCCATCTCATAGTGCATTCGTTAGCATTTTAGCAGGCTTGCCAGCTTGCACATTCCCATCTTTCACCATATTGCCCTCCCTGTTCATCAGTTGCGCCCCTCCGCCCTTTATCCCCAGCAGCAACTACGCCGTGTTCTTCCTCGGGAAAGTCAAGATAGTTTACCGCAAGATGATAAATGCCCTGGGGAGGAAGGGTCGCTCCCGTTCACGAAAGCGAGACATCAAATCAAACAGGTCCTTGAAGAGCGACACTCCGCCCCGTCTATCCATGCAGAGTTCCCCGCCCCCACAGGAACCTTTTGTAAATCATGGTTTGGACAAGTGGAATAAGGACAGGCTCGCTTGGACTGCCACCGGTCCTGACTATGTTCCGAAGCGCCCTCCGCCTTCATCACCACAAAATCAACTAGCAGATGCTCAAGAATTGTACAATGCTCTTCTCAGGGATCAGTATCACCCGCTTCCAAGGAGCGTACCCCTCGGTGAGTTTATTGGCATCTTGCAACATATTCGCGAAGAATCTTTATGATCCTACCCCATGTTCAAGTCAAAGAGTGCTTTGCCCGTTCCTACACTCTACTTAAGTCTTGGTGAGCATGTCCGGCCTTTTTGGAGAAAATGCACTATGGTCACCACGTTTAGGACAAACCTTCCACATCCAACCCCTGCAGGAATCATGTCCTTACACAGGTTGGGAGCAATCGTCGCGATTGCTTCTTCCACGTGTCGCTGTGACACGGAAACAATATTGCTATGCCTCTACGAGTGAGCTGATAGATCATTCATGTACATCGGAGACATGAACAAAAAGCAGACGTTGTCGACGCAAACTTTCACTGTTCTGGAGCAAATGAAATGTTTCATACGGGCACTGGAAGCAGGTCACAACGGAAGCAGCCACGTCACAAGGCGGAAACGCTCAGCGAAGCCAGATCGGTTGCTGCTTCCTTGTAGTTTCCTCACCCGCTTGCCTTATTGACTCCTCCCTCAAGTTGCTCCAATGCCTCCCTCTTCTTCCGCTCTAAAATCAAGGCTTGAACGTCTAAGTCGGGGTTCCGAGACGGCTTTTTCCCAATGTACTGGAGGTAACTGCAATCCCACGGCTCGTCCACTCCTGTACCATGCTTTTCTTCCCACTTTTCCACAAAATATTTCCTTCTTTCTTCTTCTGCCTCTTTCTCTTCTTGTTCCAAACTCCCATCGTGGTCGTCAAGATATCCGTAATATTCAATATCCACTCTCCTGTGAAGTTTCCCACTGTTCTCTTCTCTGCTTGCATACTTTTTTTCCATACGAAGTCTGTCTTGGCGTTCGATGAGTTCTTGTACTCCAGGCAAGTTACGCGCAACGCCAAAATAGAAGTACCCCTGATGCTCGAAGGCACCATCCTTTCCATCACTAAAACTATGTCCTTTTCGATGCCGTGCATGATCCTTGCCCCCCAGATACACAATTCTGCCTTCCCAATGCTTTCGCTCTCGTAGTAGCTTGTTAATAGCGTCATTTAGCTCTCGCACCCGAGCGTGCTCCAAACCGGGATTTTGAATCTCCGCGACACGCCGTCTGATGTCGCCGATGATTTGAAGTCGCCACTTCTCTGCTTCGTCGACATCGTCGCAAAGAATCGCAAGGTACGGCCGTCTTTCGTTCCCGCCACGCCCTTGCTTCTTTGTTTGCAGATACCTGCTCAGCATGGACTGCGCCTTTTCTTCGTTTCGAGCCATGGTAAAGGCTCAGGGAAAATCTTCACGTCAAGCAGAATGCCACGATGACACTGAAGGCGGTCTTCAAGTCAGTAAAGCCACCTTCGCGACAGCATCCCCACGTGCCTCCTTCTGGGAAGCTTCTCTTTTACGCGATTCTGTTGAACTATCACACGCCAACTCGCATCTGGATCGTTGAGCTCTGGATCAATGGGGAAGGTGCTGTTGGCCGTCCCGTTTCTTCTCATTTCTCCAAGCACTGCTGCTGAGAAACTGTTTCTGATGAGGGGAGGGTTTTCAAGAAAGTTTCTGATTTTTATGTTTTTTCGAGTTTTGGACAACCTCAAAGGCGAACAAAGCGTAAGAGGGGTTCCAATCTCCGCAGCCTTTACGCTTTCGTATGCAACTTGTCTATAGGTGAAATGCTCAACTTTGCGCTGTGTTCTACGAGAGTTCTGGCTCGAAACGCGCGCCAATCAAGAAAAGCGAGCTGCCCTGCGACGCAAGTTCGGAACGAACGACACTTTCTAGGCAATGCAGTGTCCAGCCGGCGCGCTCGCGCACTGGCTAGGAGCGCGACGATGGTTGTAGACGAGCCTGCCGTCGAGACGGAAGTGGACCCCGGAAAAGTGAAAGGAACTGATTTGCGCGTGCTGCGATACCCTCACCCGTTGCTACGCGCGCCGAATGCGATTGTAGAGGTGGAGGAGTTTACCGACGAGCTGAAACGAATTGCGAAAGAAATGTTGTTAGTCATGTATGCATCGCGGGGGGTGGGCCTGGCGGCGCCGCAGGTGGGGGTGAACAAGCGGCTGATGGTATTTAACCCCGATGGCGAGTCGAAGGCTTTTCTGAAGGAGGTTGTCATGGTGAATCCGTCGATTGTGGGCAAATCGAAGAAGACTACTGTAGAGCCGGAAGGGTGTCTGTCATTTCCGGGGATGAATGGGAACGTACGAAGGCATGAGTGGGTGAAGGTAGAGGCGACGCGGCTGAATGGGAAGAAATTTAAGGTGAGATATGAGGGGTGGATTGCGAGGATATTCCAACACGAGTACGACCATTTACAGGGCACGTTGTACCCCGACAAGCTGGAGTCAGCGGAGGATGAGGAGAAGGTGAAAGATCGATTGGCAGAGCTGGTGGAGGACTATCGACAAAACCCGTACGAGGGCATGGAGCCGGCGCTCTGAAAGCAATGTACAATGATAATGGAGGGAACTTGGATAAGCAGTCGCATTTATTAGTTGGAACGCATTGTTGTGCTGTGTCTGCGTCTAGCAGGTTTGCGTCATCAATCTAGTGGCGAACATTGGACGACGGTTTCGGGTACGAAAACAGAGGTGATATCAGTAGCCAAGATGGTAACAGACTACGGGGAAGCTCTAGGACATAAACTCAATTACCGTATCGAAACAAGCGGCAGTTGAGTCGACCAGTAAAGGGTCCGTGACTTGAGCAAGGACTGCATCCTTGGCCGCCTTCAAGCCCGCGACATCGGCCTTCGACGAGATGCCGACTTCCTCATGCAGCATCTTCATCATGCCCAGGTTGTTGGTATGGACGAAATCGACACTCTTGCAAGCAGCGCCATAAGACACAATACGAATGATATTCCGGAAGTCGAACGTGACAATCTCCGAGAGCTTCTCATCCGCCTTTATCTCCTTCGCGGTCTCAAACGCGGCAGAGACAGCGGTCTCGACCAGCTCCTCCTCCTGCACGATCATGAATGCGGCGACGGAACCTCCAGGAAGCATGTAGGCGTTTGTAGCCAGCTCGTCCAGCGGGGTGAAGGCGTAGGCTGTGTCGTTCTTACGGCAAAGGGTGGCCTGGGTGGTGTTGAAGCCGACGCCGGGGCTGAAGATGCTCTTGTGGCCGCGGATGTAGGACAGCAGCTCGCGGGCGCGGACCGAGAGCTCGACCGAGGCCTTCTGCGACTCGGTGGCAATCATGCGCGGCGTGGGACGACGCGCCGAAGGGGCGGCCGACGGGCGACGCGCAGACGGCCGCGAGAGAGTGGCGCGGCGCGTCAGAGAGACTGGGGTGGGGGTGATAAAGGCCATTGCGGGGGGGGAGGGGAAAGGGTTGTTAGAGGTGTTGGAGAGAGGAGGAGGGAGTGAGTTGGTGCAGGGGAGGGGTCGGTGCGGGGATGGCGGGGGGGAAGGGGGTGGAGGATGGTTGATAAGTATTGCCGGGGCGTGACAGGAAGGGACAGGAAGGGATAGATTGAGTGGTGGTCGGGGGAGGAGAGGGATCAATCGGCAGTGGATTGAGTTGTGGATATGAACAAGGGTGCCGGTTGATGTACGATGTTCTTGGTGTCGCTGTAAGCAAGGCGAAATCGGGCACGTGGGCGAAGGCGAGTGCGGTCGCCATTCAAATACAGGTCGCCTCGGCCTCTAGTTTTTGTCAACCGCCAACGACGGAGTGCTCACTACGATCTTTCGATGTCCAATGCCACCGAGACAAGTGCTGCAAAGTTGAGTCACGGCGCTAGCACGAAAAAGCCCCAACGGCCATCCATCTCGACGTGCGCACCTTTGTGTGGCTGATGCTTTCTCGCTGATGCCCCGCTCTTTGCAGGGGCCATAGTGAGCATAGAAAAAGGGTTATTGTACTGTACCCTTCTCACCGGCTCAATTTGGGTCGGTTTAGAATTTTCAAAAAATCGGTCATTTTACCCCAGTACTGGCCAGTTTCCCGGTACCAAAAAATCTTTGGTTGGCGGCTTTCCAGGCCATCCGGCTCAATTTGGGCCACCTCCCCGCGGCACTCTCACCGCAGTTGCGACAGGCCGAGCAACGTTCGCGCCGCGGAGTCGTGCCGATCTCCACGAGAATTCCCTTTGTTCTCCTGCAACCCAACCGCCGATCGCCTTGGCCACTGTTTTAGGGGAACATCATCAAGAGAAGCCCAAAAACTACTCTCTAAGTTACGCACAATGCCGTCGCCCTTGACAGGCGCCCTGTTTTCTTTTTCACAATTCAAATTGCTCGACGAAGCACGACTGCGACATTCGAAAGCCTTTGAGCTTACGTCTTCCACATGCGATACACAGATAATGTTGTAGTTGGCGTGAGAGACTTTCGAAGTCAACACTGCCGCCGCTTGCATTTTGCCACCTTTTTGCGTCCTGATCGATTCATAACCGCCATTTTTGGAGCTCGTATCTCGCTCATCAGAATGTTTTGAACTTGATAATCTGACCGAAGGACACAAGATTCCTTTGCAAGCGCTTGTGACACTGGTATCCTACCGTCTGTTAACGCATGAATTTGAGATTGTACTCTCATGTTGGTGACCCGTGTAGTACAATGGCGTACCACGACCATCCCGGGGAGATGTGAACCGGACGGAAGAGCGGGTACTACTGTAGCGACCGGGCTTGCACGCGCCCGTAGCGGAGTACAGTAGTACCCCGCGGGTCACACGTGCTACAACCGCTGGCGTGGCCACGGGCACACGTGTGTAATCCGTACGGTTATAAGTAGTAATTAGTAGTTAATGGCACGAATTTATTAATTGTGTACAGTAGCTGGTATACAGTAAGTAACAGCTACTGTAGCGGGACAGGTGTCCTGGCGTCCCACTTAGGGGTTAAGACCGGGGGCACCTGCCCCGTCCCAGTAAAGAGGAGGCAGACTCGCCTCCCTTCCCTTTACGGCTAAGTGCTAACACCGTTCCGGTTTTCCTTTAGCTCGGGCTTCTAACCCGTGACCGGCCGTCCGGGTATAACACCACCGACCGGCTGCGCGTCACCGGCCACGTGAGCCTTCTCTCTTTTCGAGTCCATCCGTACGGTTTTTATCCGCGCGTGGGTAACCCAGCGTCGCGTGCTCCCTCACCTCTAACCCCCCTCGTTCCGAGTGGTCGGGACGAAGGTAGTTATACCACATTTTGGTACTCTTGTGGAGGGTATAACTACAGAGGTTGAGCCCGCACTGGATCGCCAGCGCGAGCAATGACCGATCGGATTGAAAGAGGTCGAAAATCACCGCGTCGATCGCCAGTGATCATCGACGATGAACCGTGCGGATTCCGCCGGAGAAGATACCGCCTCCGGGCGAGCAAGTACCCGCAGTGGCAGAGGCGCACAGCGCCCCCGGATCGACAATCCGGAAGCCCTGCTACGCCCGCCGTCTACCAGGGGCCAGAAGACCCCTTCCGTTTCGGACACCACCGCCGGGCTACCGGCTGGTGGGGGAAACCGCGTACAAGTACTGTACGACGCGTTACTCCCGCGATTACAAACCTGGATGGAGGAATTCCTCGCTGAGGAATTACCCCAGGTCGTCCAGGTTTGCCTCGACCGAACCGTACCCGGGCTTGTGGCGGAGCAAGCGGACGCCGCGCTCCGCGCCCTGCTGGACGAGAAGATCGCCCCCCTCGTACGCGACGAGGTGGTGGCCGCGCTCGCCGCGGAGGAGGACGAATCTCCCACCGCAATGGCTCTAAAGGGAGCTATTAGCTCCGCCGTGGCCATTCGTCTGGCCACGACATTTACAACCGAAACGGGAGGCGCGGCACCGCCGCCGGCGCCGCGCCATGAAACCGTTCCGGGCTCAAGCAATTATATCGCTGATCCGATCGGCGCCGTACCCGGGATTGATAGGATGGACCCTCACCCGGAGGGCAGAGCCATCTATCTCCCAACCGTTTACGGCGCTACAGGGAGGACTACAGAAAATGTCCTCCCCATACTCGCCGGTACAGGTGACCCCCGCGGGACAGAAAACCGCCTGGGGCTCCCCGAGACAGAAAATCGGGACCCGTACCGGTTGAGCACAAGACGTGCACCCGGCACGCGCAGAACCGAAGCGGAATACACCCGGTATTCCGACGCAGAAGACCCCCGTCACAGGACGGATGAAAACCGCGAGGGACGCCGCTGGCGATACCGCGATAACCGCGAGGCACGCCACGGGCGATACCGCGATGCCGGAGGGGGAGGATACCCCTCCGATGACGACCAATCCGGTTCGGAAGGTTCGCGCAGGCGGGGCCACAGGGCACGCCGCGATAGAAGCCGAGACCGTCACCGGCAAGAACCGTCCGACTCGGAAGACTACAGTACCGAGTCGGGTGAGGAGCGTCGTCGCTCAAGCAGACACCGCCGGGCTGCGCCAAGGGGCGACGAGCGACGGCCTACGGTAATCAGGCCGCTCAATGACCTGTTTACCAAGGCCGTCAACTACAAGACCTACCGCCTGGAACGGCGTAGCTCGCGCTACGACTCTACAGTAGCGCGGCACATTAACCGTTACCGGAAGAAACTGGACGTGCAGATGAGGTCCCACACGTTCAGTGGTCAAGATCCGATTGCGGTATTGGGATTCCTCGCACGCCTCAAGATGGCGTGCGACCACAACGGGATCACCGAGGGAGCCGCCGTGTGGTGCTTCCAATTCTACCTCACCGGTCAGGCTCACGCCCTACTCCAGTCCCGTCTCAATGGAAACACCATGGCGGTTGACGTGGAGCGGCGCGAACTGCTCAGGACGTACCCGCAGGTTGTCAACTTTTTGTTGCGTACCTATGCGACCGATGAGGTAATTTCCGAAGCGGTTGGTGACGTGACCTCCTTCCGTCAAAGTTCGAACATGACGGAGGAGGTCTACAGTAACCACCTCTGGGACAAGGCCCTCCGATGCGGTACGGTATTCTCCGACCGGCGGTTGAAGTCCCTATTCGTCGAGGGGTTACTTCCCGCCACGTGCGCGCAGGTCCGCAACTACCTTGCTACGCACCCGGATGTGGATTACCAATCCGTGGCTCGATACGCGCAAGCGATCGGGGAAACCAATCGGGCTTCCCGCCGGCAGGGGATGTCAGCCATGGCATCCCGGGAGCCGTCCGGAGCGGCCAGAAGATTCGAACGTACCGCCAGGACACGGCCCGTGCTGTCGGTTGAGTCGGCATCCGACATCCCGACAGCTCGAGAATCCGTGGCAGAAGAAATCTTGGCCGTGACGGACCACACCGCGACGCCGAGCCCGTTAAGCTCGCCGCCGACGAGTTATTACCCGTCGCCGGCAGCCTCGGCATCAGGCGCCGCGGGTCCGCCCGCCAACCCGGGCGATGTGCGCGCAGGACCGTACGGGAGACAGGGGCAGAACCCACGGGTCCGGTTCTCCAGTGGGGGATTCCCCGGACGGCCGCCGTGTCGGTTCTGCCTTGACACTACGCACCG